AGGACAATTAGAGGCAAACAGGAAGACTCCGTGTTTGTTACTCTCAGACCATTCGGTATTGGGTCCAACAGCTGCATACCCACTGCCCGTCCCAAAGGACATGAGGCATTTGTTAGAGCACAAAGAGCAACGGAAGCTCAGAACAATGATGTCCCGTCATGCAGAGACTGGTTATATTCACAGGATTTTAGGAAAATATGGACTGTTTCCTTAAGAAAAATGGAAATTTGGCTTTAGTACTTTTTCAAAAGGATGACTGGGCTTCAGTTATCTGGAAAATTCGTTTTGGAAGAACTCACTACTGGGGAAATACTGGCTCAACAAAAGCAGCTCTGGATTATGGAGCGCTACAAGCCCAGAGTGTTATTCCCTTCCGCTCCCGTCTTCTGCGGGACACTGGTGTCAGCGCAGTGTCTTGCCTGAGTCAGGTGGTGCCCATCGGGATGGAGGCAGCGCCGGGGCTCGGGCCGGTCTGCCAACAACGCTGTGCTCTTTCTTCCATGTTGTCCCCTTCCGGACCGAATGCAACTGTTGTTACATGAGTACCAAGAGAAACATTCCCTCCACATAAAATATAGAACAAATCTCGGAAAGATTTCAATGATCTCTAATCATGTATTTTGGAAACAACCAAGAGTTTTATGTTATAAAATGATATTCATGATACTCAGAGTATCATGAAAGATCTATGATACTGGCGACAACTGTCAAAGCCCCAGGTATTTAAGATGTATGTATTACCTCTTTTTAATTTTTCTCTTCAAAAGTAAACCACAGGTGTTTTCTAATGCACTAAGATTCATGACCTAACAAAAAATATTATCAGAGACAGCAAAGTAGAAGAGTGGTGGCAGCCACCAGGAGAGTTGAGAAGTCACTAAAAAGTGGGGTGGGACACCCACATCTTGGGCTTTGCCTGAAACCCTGTCATGTGTGTCTCCTTGAAATACAGACCAGTTATGGGCGCCTGGCTAGCTCAGTCGGAGCGTGTGGCTCTTAATCTTGGGGTTGTAAGTTCCAGCCCCATGTTGGGTATAGAGATTATGTATTTATTTATTTATTTAAGATTTTATTTATTTATTTGACAGAGAGGGACACAGCAAGAGAGGGAACACAAGAAGGGGGAGCAAGAGAGGGAGAAGCAGGCTTCCCGTGGAGCAGGGAGCCTGATGTGGGGCTCGATCCCAGGACTCCAGGATCATGACCTGAGCGGAAGGCAGATGGTTAACAATTGAGCCACCCAGGCGCCCCTGAGATTATTTAAAATCTTAAAGAAAAAAAAATAGGCAAGTTAAAGGAGATAACGTGTTTGAAGGGACAGCCACAAAAATACAAATGGCCAATTTCACCTTTGAGCGGTCTGTGACACATATAAAAGAGGGTGTTTTTGCACAACCTCAAATCCACTGCTCAGAGTTTCACTAAATAAAAAAGACAGATGGAAAGATCAGTTAGCATCAAAAAGGCCTTGACATCCCTAGAACAAAAAAGCTTCCAACTGGGTCTACATCCACAAGCCTTCAGAACCTAGAGGACTAATTAATTTAATCGCTGCTTAATCGCTGTCATCAAACAGATCTTACAATGCCCTCAAGGACTGAGCTAATGGCAAAGAACTGAGAACATTCGGGGTTGAATGGCTTCAAATTACATAATTCATGGTACCATCACAACCGACACTAAGCAATCAAAAGTTTTTTTGGAATGTGGATAATTGAGACTAAAGCTAGGTTTTCAGAACGTCCAGCTACTAAGTATCTACAATAGAGAAAGATGCCACGTACCTATAATCTGAGATGGCAACAAGATTGTTGCCACCAGATCACAGTTCGTATGGTAAATTGCAAACCAACTATAAATTCATTTTTGGACATTAAAAAGAAGGCTTTCAGCCATCGGCCAGAAGGAAGAAAACTAAATAAGCTCTTCTTTCCACCTTCGCAAACTACTGCAGATAAAGTGAGTAAGAAAAGTCATTTTTTATCATAGGTGTCAGTTATCCAATCAGATAAACTCCATTTGGAGCCAGAAAACTTGGATATATGAAGTCTAACATAGAAAGGAACTATTTTTTACTTTTTGTTTTGTTTTGACTTTTGAAAAGAAACATATTGCCTTCTGAATCACAGGAAAATTCTACATTGCAATAGACTGGATCTCAGGAAAGCATCCATCACCAGGAGCTGATGGGATAAGAGGCAAGTCAGGCTACAAGACAGATGGTCACAGTGGAGTCCGATGCTACCCTGTCACTGCAGTTGTACCTTCTTAAAATAGAGCCTATACAGGAAAGGGAACGTCTGTTTCCCTGCTAGACTTCAAGCTTCTAGAGGGCACAGACCCTCTCCTAGGAGGCAGAGAATCTCAAGGGCCTAAAAGATGCCACTGTGGCCACTTATGACATGTGATGGGTGATGTGATGTGAAATAAGCTCTGTGTGCCCTATTGTCTTCTCAAACTACGTGGCAAATTGTGTGTTTTGTTGTTGTTGTTGTTGTTACTCTAACTACTGACTTAATATAAAAACCCAGACTTCATAATAAACAGAGTAGCTTGAGATTATTTCCTCAGAAGCATGATTCACAAGCAGTTCCTGAAGTCTAGGCCACGAGACTGGTTTCACATGGCTATCAGGAGCTGAACGGGACGTGATCACACTTTAAAAAAGGCTGGTCCTAACAGTGGCGAACAGGTGGAAGCAAGAGCTCGCTGGGCCTTTATGTGGAGGGGGACAGATACTCTGTCTGCAAGAACAAGGTTCCAGACCTAAAGTGGGGTGGGCTCCTCCTGCTACCAAATGGTGAGCAGCCACAACCTCTCCTTCTTTTAAAGGGACAGGAGGGCTGTTTTGTTTTGTTATGTGTTCTTCTGTTTCCATGTTCTGCAGAAGTCCGGTGGCAAATGTGCTGTCTGCCTGGTGGATGGACCGTGTTCCACACAGATCTCCAGCTTTTAAGGGGAGAGGTAGCTCTTGCCTGACAGCACATCATCCCTTTCAAATCCCACCCAGACACAGCGACAAAGAGCCACTGAGACCTTTTCCCTTTAAGAGTTCAAAACCTGTGGGGTGCCTGGCTGGCTCAGTCGGTGGACCTTGTGACTCCTGATCTTAGGGTCATGAGTTGCAGCCCCATGCTGGCTGAAGAGATTAAAAATAAAATCTTATTTAAAAAAAAAAGAGTTCAAAACCTGTTACCTGAGAAGTTCTGTTCTCATTGTCCCGTATCCGTTCCTTTACCAGCCGCACAAGAGATGCAATGTTGTAAAACTCCGCTTCTTCCAGAACACCTAGGACAAGGACCAAACTGTAGTTAGAGATGTGTGTGTGTTCCCCAGAAAACAGCAATAGGCTGAAGTTTCCATGTTTGCTAAGAACTGCATTTTTCAAACGGAAGCCTAGTCTCTCTCCTTCAGCCTGGTAAACATTTCTTTGCTGTTTAGGGTGTACCCATTTCCTTCTCTCCAAAGTGAGTGCATCAAGCTCTGGGTCTGCTCTGTTCACTCTGTTTCACCCCTGCAGTTTCCCACTTGGCACCTTCCCCGACTCTCCCTGCACCTGCCCATTAGCTGCAGGACACCTTTTCCCATATGTCACTTACTTCCTGGAACTGGTCATATTGGAGAACTCCTGAGCTTGCAATGCTTACCCAGTTTGTCCTAAAAATGACCAGGGGTGGGTGTATATAAATTTATGTGGACCAGATTTAATAGGATGCTTATTATTTGAACGACACAAAACGACATAAAAATTACTGAAAGAATGCTGTGCTAAATAAAATCAAAGGCCTTGGACAGGACAACTAAGTGGGATGTGTGATCTGGTATCAGACAAAAACACTTGCTATAAAAAACGTTATTGGAACAGCTGATAAAATTGGAATATAAGCTGCAGATACAAATATTTATCAATATTAAATTTCCTGAACTCGATAACTATACTGTACCCTTGTTCTTGGGAAATACCCTGAAGTATTAAGGGGGGAATCTGTAATTTAGTCTCAAATAGTTCAGAAGTAAAAACTGGTGGGGAAGGGAGGAAGGACAGGAGGGGAGAGACAGAACGGATGATAACACAAGTATGACAAAAAAAACGTTAAAAATTGGTGAATCCGGGAGTTCTCTGTGCTATTCTTGCCCCTTTCTCTGAGTTTGAAATAGTTTCAAAATAGAAAACAATTTTTTTAAAGACTTCAGAAAAGATGCTGAAGCTTTCTCTTTTCAAGAAACAAGATTATCCGTGAGGTAGTAATTATTGAAGCTGGATGGCGGGTGCATGGAATTTATTGTACTATTCCCATTATTTTTGTATGCATTTGAAATGTTAAAAAAACAAAGAGCGAGCATGCGAGTCCTCTTTTTACTGGTCGAAACAGATGTGTTTCGCGGCCACTTCATTAACTAGCACAGCCATTACAGCTTTCTTACTCAGAGCTAAAGCTTCCAGGTCAGGGTGCCCTGGATTTAGGGACAGGCTCCAATCTTCAACTGAATGCCTTTGGTGAGACCACGCCAAGCCTTTTAGAAAGATGTCTAGACCCACTTACAGTCCAGATGCCCTACAAACCAAAGACATGAGGCAACCGATAACACACCTGACAATGGACTGGAGAATGAATTAGGTCAGCTGCAAAAATTTACAAGGAAGCATGAGACCAGTCTTAAAAGAAATGAGGCCAAGCCTTTATTATTTTTTATAGCTGCAAGTTCAAACTAAAATTGAAAATATAAATAATTAATGTCAGAGGTGTGATGCTTCGGGCTACGGACATTCACAGCTCGCAGGCACATAAGTAAAAGTAAAAAGGGATCCTGACAATTCTGCAGGTTTGGAGAATGCTCCTGAAGCTATCTGCAAACTGCAAAACTGAGCTACCTATTTTCCTTCTCATTCAGGAGGCTGAACAGAGCCCAGTGGGGATCCCTTAAGCAAGACTTCCTCAGATAAGACTAGGTAACAAGAGACTCCCTGCTCACTTTCATAAACCTTTACTACACCTGCACATGAACTTGATGAAAATGTCAAAAAAAATTTCAAATCTGTCAAACAGCTTTAAAGATATGGCCCGAATTTTGAAAATGCCCAGTTCAAACATTGTTCTTACCTTCTTCTGCCAACTCCTTTGTAATGATGAGTTTCCCATGGCGGAGGTAGTTTAGGATAGGACCGAAGTAGGTGGGGTCTCTGTCAATCAGATAGGCCCCTGTCTCGTCCTGTCAACCAAACACAAAGGCATCACTCTGGAGCTTTCAGACTAAGTCCTGGCAGGGTTTCAGCCTCTCCGTCACAATTCATTAGTGAGAGGGCAAGTTTTGCTAGATGTTGCTTATCATAAACTACAGGCAAGAAGGCTAGCTTTATGTATCTTGTACTCTGAGATCGTTTCAGGTGGGGTGTTACAATGTCTAGTCATGTCATCCAGGCATTTACTTGAACTTTAAAATCTTTACCTGGACACAATTACCACCATTCTTCTATGGGATATCTGTTATAAAGAAAAGGGAAGAAAATGCCACAGTTCGATTGTTTAAATCTCTGCTTGAGATGGACATTCTGACTTCTCTACTGCCCCCAAATCACATTCCTAATTCTAAGAAAACCTCTGTATAGCTGGCAATACTCCTGAGCTCAAGGCCAACATCATTGGGAGTCTGCATTGCCAGCTGTAACTCACACACCCCAGTTCTGTGCCCAGAGGAAGCTTGGCACTGCCAGGACTTGGCGCTGAGCAGCTTTAATCCTACTCATCTTTACAGTAAAAGGAACAAGAAGAAACTGGCTTCTATTGCAACAAGAGAGATTTAGGGTAGATAAAAATAATTCCTTTATAAGGAAAGGTTTTGGAATTTCTTTAAAGTTACGGCAGGACAGGTTTCCATCGATCTGAGATTAGAGGAGAGGTAGACGTTGAATAAATAAAATCAGCCTATCTTTACCAAACCCAACTCTATTTCAATGTAACTGGCTGAGTGCTATATAGAATAGAAGGTGGTGTAAGCTAAACTGGCAACTAAATGATGAATGTGTAAAGTTAATAAACAAACAACACTTCAAACTGGAAATGGTTTAGAAATGTCTCGTCACCTCTCAACTTTTGGTTAGCAGCCATGCCTCTTGCTCAACAGCATTCTTCAGTTTTCATTTTCCGATGGCCTTAACCAGTCGGCTTAGGTTTGCACTGGCAACTGGTAATCTCTTTCCAAGGCATGCATCTGAGCTCTAATACGGTCCTAACACAGTTACTGTTACCAGATACGAGCTCACGGCCCAGGACCACAGGAAAGAAGTGTGGTATCATGAGAAGCACTTCCTGCAGCTGTCAGACCCAGGCTTTCACCCAACTTGGCAGAGGGGTCCGAAAGGAAGTCTGAGAAAGCTACAAAGATGCCTTTGCTCACCCTGACCCAGTTCTGGACGCATCTGGCACAGGCAGTGAGGGGCTGACGAGGAGCCAGGGGGAAACTCATGCAGATCTGAGGGGCGGGTATGAGAGGTGTAGAGAGCAATACGGAGAAGGGGTGTGGAGTGGGTTCTTGTGGGTGCGGGTGGGCACTGTGTGGGGAACGAGTCGCTGAGAGCGAAGGGCGGGGTCAGAGAGAAAGCCACTGAGGATGGGGGAGAATAGCCCCCAGGGCCAGCCTAGCGGGGGAGGGGTGGGGAGGGAGCTCCAGCCCGAAAAGCCCGCCTGTGAGGAGCGTGTCGCAGGAATCTGGGGACGAGCTAGGAGGCACGAAAGGGGTCCGATGGCCGGGAGCGCGCCCGAGGGCGGGGCGCACCTTGTCCGAGTCCAGCTCCGGGTCCTCCTGGCAGCAGAGGCGACACAGGAAAGACTTGGGCTCCCGGCCTAGGGTCTGTCTGGTGGTCACGAAGTAGGTGCCGCCCACGTTCAGCCGGACCCAGCGGGCCGCACCGCCGCCCCCTGCCCGCTCTGGCGGTCCGGGACCCGGCTCCAGCGGCGGCGCAGTAGCGGCGGGCGGGCGGCCGTGCCCGCGGGGCGTGGGGCCAGCAGGGCGAGGGCTGGGGGGCCCGCGGCCCGGGCCGCCCCCGTCGCTCAGCCCGCTCCCGCCACCCCCTCCCAGCCCCGCCATCGCCGGGTCCAGCTGCAGCTCCGCCATCTTGGGCCGCCACCGCCGCCGCTGCCCGCGCGCCGCCGGGCCGGCCCATCTCTCGGCAGGGAGAGCCGGGCCGGCCCATCGGCGGGGGTGGGGCTGGGGGAGAGGGACGGGAGCGCCCCCAACCAGCGCCCGGGGACCCGTGAGGGGGAGGTGCTGCGCCCGCCCTCAGGGGCGGGCTTTCCGGAACCAGCCTCCATTTCTACGGGCTGGCCTGCAAAGCAAGGCCCGCCCCTTCAGCTTTGGGGTTGGCTCAGGGAGGCTTTCCGGTGACCCAGTTCCGTTCCTTGCTGCTGTGGACTCTAGGCCGCCGGGGTCGGTGAAGGTGAGTGGGGTTTGGGAGTGGTGGGCCCGACACCGGCGGGCTGCCTTGTTTTGCCCCCTCCAGACCTTGTGCCGACCCTGTCGCACTCCTGACGAGGAGGCCGGGCCTTGCGATCGGCTTGCTGGCAGAGCGCCCGGGTGTAGCTGCTGCCGCCGCCGCTCTGCTCGGCGCTCTGTTCCTTTCCCTTCCCCCGCGCGAGGTCGTCGGGCCGGGCTGTGGCCCTGCCGCCTCTGACCGAGGTGCTTCCCACACCTTGCCTCGTTCGTTCCGCCCCCAACGCGGCCGAATTGGGCAGTCCGGTGTGGGGGCTGGGAAACGTTACCCCGAGATAGTGTTAAGTTGTTGAGTGAGGGACACTCCGTCTCATCCTGAGGGTTCCAACATTGGAGAGTGTGGAGCGCTCAGAGCTCAAGTGCAGGGTTCGCGTACCCTTTCAACCGATACTGACCGAGCACCTCCTGTGCGCCTGACCTGTTGTTCTGGGCGCTGAGGATTCAGCAAAAAAAAGGGACAAAAACCCATTTATGAAGCCTGCCTGCACTGGTGCTTGGAAAAGTCTCTGTAAGGGCGCTTATTTCTTTGGCGTCTTTAAAAGTCATCTGCGATGGTACTGGATGGCTTAGTCCGTGGAGCATGCGACTCTTGATCTCTGGGTTGTAAGTTTGAAACCCACGTTGGGTGTAGAGATGACTTAAAATAAAAGTCACCTGCCCATCACCTCCACTCCTGGAAACAAGCTATTGCTGAGAGGGAAGGAAAGCAAGAGGCAGGAGTTGGACCAGTTCCTTTTTAAGATCCCGAGGAGAATTTCTTCTGCCTGCCTTGTGATCCACCCCATAGTTTGCAAAGGCCTTTGACATTTCAGTCTTTCCCCTAATGTCTGGCACTGATCTTAAATTTAGTTTGACTATTTTACCATTTTCTTAGTTTAAAAAAAAATGGCCGTAACCACTTTGCACCTTCTCTCACATTCACATATGTCTTGAATACCTCTGTGAAGGGTATTACTAGAATGCACAGGGTATGTGCTAGTGCTGCAGAGGATAATCAGACATGAATAGGAAGGTGCAGGTATTACCAATCAGGTAGGGAGTGAGTAGAGAGCCCCTTAAGCTTGGTAAGACTGTAGGGCAGATTGATGTGCACAATTTCACTTGGTACTTTGAACAGCCTTCTGAGGTAAACAGGGCTGGTATTATCCCCTAGGAGATTCTGGCCTAGGGTCTGCTCTATTTAAGCTTTGTTGAAACTTGTGTATGTGTTAGGTTCTGTGCACTGGAGAATCTGAATAAAACACATGCAGTCGGAGTGGAAATGTATTCAAATGGTTCACTTTTATGCAGTGTGTATTACTTTAGCAATATTTCCAAAGGTACATGAAGAGCAAACACTAGAGACCTGGGCTTTTAAGGATGAGTAGGAGTTGCGGAATAAGAGGGGGACTGTCTTGGGGGAAATGATGTAGTTATATGCCAGGTTGCATCCCTTGAATTTGAAAAGCTAAACTACCCTTATTTAGTAATCCTGATTCCTTTAGTTGATAAATGTACTCCTCAAGCTCTCAGGATGCTGATCTATTTCTTAAAGATTTGCATGTTTCTAAGGTGCCCTTTAAAGGATTCTCGGTAAGAGCCCTGTTTTGATCTGACCTGTTTTATTTTCCAGGATCTCAAGATGGCTGCGCGAAAACTTGCTCTAAAAACCATTGACTGGGTAGCTTTTGGGGAGATCATACCCCGAAACCAGAAGGCCATTGCTAACTCCCTGAAATCCTGGAATGAGACACTTACCTCCAGGTCAGTACCATTCTGAGTGGGACCTTCTTAACTTGCTACTGAATATGGAAGCAAAACAGTGGTTTGGAATTACATATGAATTTCTGATGTTCTTTTTTTTTTTTTAAAGATTTTATTTATTTATTTGAGAGAGAGAGAATGAGAGAGAGCACGAGAGGGAAGAGGGTCAGAGGGAGAAGCAGACTCCCTGCTGAGCAGGGAGCCCGATGTGGGACTCGGTCCCGGGACTCCAGGATCATGACCTGAGCCAAAGGCAGTTGCTTAACCAACTGAGCCACCCAGGCGCCCTGAATTTCTGATGTTCTTCTGATATAAGGAAATCCACACATAGAGGTGCCTGGGTGACTCGGTCAGTTAAGCTTCCGACTGTTGGTTTCGGCTCAGGTCATGATCTCATGGATTGTGAGATTGTGTCCCAGGTCAGGCTCCATGCTCAGAGGGGAGTCTGCTTGAGATTCTCTCCCTCTGCCCCTCCCCCCCCACTTGAGGACGCTCTCTCTCTAAAATAAATAAATCTTTTTTTAAAAGAAAGCATACATTTTTCCAAATGAAAGTAGTTTTTTGGCATTCCTATGATCTCCCTCCTGGAGAAAAGTGTGATGATAGCTCTAGGCCATAGGAATAAGGACGTACTGTGTGAATTTTCTGTTTCTCATAGACCAATTTTAACTTTTGCTTTTCCGTGTGAGCAGATTGGCTACTCTCCCTGAGAAACCACCTGCTATCGACTGGGCTTACTACAAGGCCAATGTGGCAAAGGCTGGTTTGGTAGATGACTTTGAGAAGAAGGTGAGACTTCAGGCACCTAAAGCACTGGTCTTGTAGTGTGGCTTGCGGGTGCAGAGCAGAACAGTAGGTAATTAGATATTCAGGATGACAGCATGGAAACAAGGGTGCTGTTAACAGATCCCAGAGGAAGTTCAGGAAAGATGGGTGTAGATTTATATGGTAAATATGTGCACAGAATTCAGGGTCTTATTCAGCAAGTTTCTTATCCAGAGAAACAGTCCAGTATGTTATTAATCAGGGAGGCAGAGGGCTGTGGAGTTAAATGTTTCCATTCCAACTCTTCCTCAATTATTTTTTAGCCCCTCACCTGTCTCCCTAACATCTTTTCTACCCTTTCACTGTTTTCTTCCTTTTTCTGCTCCTTTTTACTGTGCCTTTTGGCTTAATTTCTCGTCCACCTAGCCTCTTCTGTCATTTACATGTTAAACCTTAGTATCCATAATTTATTTATTCGTTTGACAGATGCTTTTTGAAGGCCTACTCTGTGCCAGGTATAGTGCTCCGTGCTGGGCCCATAAGGCTAGGCAGTCTTCTAGGAGACCATCTTCATCACCGTTATGTAAACATTACTTCTGCCAATCAGTCCATTAGAGGTTCGTTTGAAAGAGAAATCAGAGTTTAGAACTACAAGGTTCTAGGAGGCCATTTTTTAGGTCATCAAATCCAGCTGTCCTTCTCAGATGGAGAAACTGAAGCTCATCGTAATAAAGAATTGTCCAGTTAGTGACAGGACTGAGAACCTTGAGCTCCTGTTTTCAGGCTAATATTCTTTCTGCTACAACACTCTAGATGCATACTGGTTTCCTGTTTGAGAATGTGTTTTTATCTGTAAGGATTGGGGTCTTTGAGCCCTTTCTTTGGATTCCCAGGTATATTAATAACAACTGTCTCTGTGTTTGTAGTTTAATGCCCTGAAGGTTCCTGTGCCAGAGGATAAATATACTGTTCAGGTGGATGCTGAAGAAAAAGAAGATGTAAGTAGTTGAGACTCTTACTTATTTTAAAATTCTCTTAATTCCTGATGGCTCTATATTTCTTAGAAGTTAGGTTAAGGTAGAGGGAATTAAAAGGAGCACCTAACTACTTGCTTGAAAGTATGAAAGCCAAATGTGGGAAGCCAGGTGGCTCCACCAAAGAGAAGTGTGGCTAGGTGGTCAGGCGGCTTGTCCTGACATTCAGTAACCGGCCCCTGTGAAACATGGGCATTTTGTAGGTTGTCTAGATGAGTAATTTGCTGATGAACCCTGGTCCTGCTATTGTAAGCTGGTTCTCCTGTATGGGCGTCTTTGTGAATTTAGGAAAAGCTGTAGTTTGCTTCCCGAAGCAAGCACCCACCAGGAGTCGGGGCAGCCATGTGTTCTCCATACAGAGTGGGAAAGCAAGAGTGGTGGGCTCTGAGACTTCTGTTTTTTTTTGAGCCTTAGGGTCAGGACAGTACAACTTGGTTTCAAAACAGAATATCTCCCTTCTCTTTAAGGTGAAAAGTTGTGCCGAGTTTTTGTCTCTCTCAAAGGCCAGGATTGAGGAATATGAAAAAGAGGTAAGGATCAGCCTTGGCCTTTGGATGTAATATGTTTTTTCTCTCTCATGGCCACACATCTTTCACCTAGTGGCAGTAACCTACCTTGGGTTCTTTTTTGCATCTCTGTGGCTCTGTTTACCTTAACACAATTCCCCTCTTTCCAGCTGGAGAAGATGAGGAACATAATTCCATTTGATCAGATGACCATTGAGGACCTGAATGAAGTCTTCCCGGAAACCAGATTAGACAAGAAGAAGTATCCCTATTGGCCTCACAAGCCAATTGAGAATTTATAAACTTGAGTTGGGGAGAAAGCTCTGGCCCTCGTATTGTAAATGCTGGACATTAAAAATAATGATACGGTGCTGTGTGTCTGCCCTTTTGCAGTTGAGATAATTACAACTCTGAGATGCCATCACTAGAGGTGGACTTTCTGTTAAAATGGAAAGGTGAGCCTACAGGTGTGTACTGGTCTAGCTATCTAATGGTAGGATGTGTAGGAGCCAGTTAGTCCCCAGGGCTGCTGAAATCTGAACAAATCACAATAGGGCTGATTGACAGTGCATTGCAT